TCTGCATATTTGCTGTAAAATACTTTTAGTGGACAGATGCATATTTAAAAAATAGCTGAAACCTCAATTTTATACATCTAATTATCCAGAATCTAGGAGATTGGCAGTATAAACAAGAAAATAATGGCATCTACAGAGTCCTTCCTTTTGTCTCTTCTCTAGGAGAATGAAAAGGCGAACTTAATAATTCTTTTTTCCTACCTTTATTAATAATGACTTCATCATAGATACCAAAACTATTACTACTAGTTCTTTTGCCCACACTGTCAAGACTTTGAGTGGAACTCTCAAGTGGGACATCATCATAGATGTTGTTATCTGACAGGTCCCTTATTTGAGACCCTGACAAAGCCCCTGCTTGTGAGGACCCTTCATCAGAATAGAGAAAGTCATARAAAGATTGTCCTTGCTGTACTGTAGTATCTGTGGAGTCATCATAAATTGACAAGACTCTTCGTCCACTGCTGGTTTCACCTTCAACAGCTAAAGTCATGTTTTCTTGAAAGGGAGTWGATGTGACGATTGGTCGGCTGACAACGTCACGCTGTTCTTCTTTTGGTTCTWTTTTCKTTCCTTGTTTTTGTTCCTCTGGATTTGTTTTGGGCAGTTGTGGGAGCTTTCTGCGAGGTGGCTTTACAGGTTCTGGGCTTTTRGGTTTTGATTTTGCWCCTCCKGTTGACTTATCTTTATCTTCATGTTTGAAGGAATTAGCTCTTTTAGGTCGTGGTGGCTTCACAGGCTCGGGTGACAATGGTTTCTTTTTGTCATCTTTTTGCTGTGATTTGGGCATTTYATCTGTTGGTGTCGTCAACGGCAACACCCACATTTCTTTATTAGTGGTGTTACTGCGTGTTCTTTTCGCGGGTAAGTGAGCGGAGGCATTTTCCTCGGGCGGCTCACTACAAACCCAACTCAGACTCTTCACAGAACCATCTGACAAGCTTCTTTCACGTTTACCAAGGATCTCATCATCTGAATTATTCACAAACTCAGTCTTCCCACAAGTGCCTTTCTTATCTTTAGTTGGAACTGCTTTAGATGTTTTCTTATAAATATCCTTTGGTTTTGGTGAAACAAGTGGCTTCTGGGAAGACTTTGGGGTACCTTTGGTGGGACTCTTCTTGGGAGATTTATCCATAACGACTTTTCTTTAATAATTTTTCAGCCCAGTCATTGAAAGTATATTTGTGTGTGTTTCATATTTTAATTATTTTTGGTCATAACCAACACCCTATCTTGTGGTCATAAGCGAGATTCCAGCACTGTGGTGCAATTACGATTCCTGAATCTCATGGTATGCAAGCCTACAACGAAAACATTCACGATTAATTGACCAACGACAAAACATTGATTGTCCTTAAAGTTTCAGCTCAACTGATGTTACTTCTAAGTCCTCAAAGGTCAGATACAAAAATAACATATTTTATTACGTGTTTGTGAGGGATATTTGAAGTGGATTTGTTAAAAATACATGTGTTTTGGCTGTTGGAATGAGCTTACGCCTTCACGAAGGCGCAGTAGAAAACGAAAGCACTGGATTTGAGAAACACTTGGTACTAGTAACACAACTTCAATTTACAATACAATGTATATCAGCTAGTTCAATTTTGAGGAAATTAGGAAAGTGAAAATAGGAATTCAGCACATTTTGACGACCACGAACTTTTAATACACAAGAAAAGGGTAAGCTGTTTCAAAGAAGAAAAGCAAACAGAMCAGTCGTTTCACTTTTGAATTGCGTATCCTTTGTCGTTCAGTCCTAATGATACTGGATATCTTATTTATAGGTAATCTTGAAAAAATCTTTGCAGAAATCAAACCCATCGACATTTTAGAGGTCGTACAGTTGTGATAAAATCAAAACYTCTGTGCTAAACTGCTATTTTGTGCATGTTTGCATATCTATAATGAAAGTAAATTCAAATGTAAAATGTATGCAAAGATAAAAGCACTGATCTCACCTGAATTATGTATTGTTGACTTCTAAAGTCAGTTTATAATAAGTCGAAGCACATTTTTCACGGGTTTTTTGTTGTCGACTTCAAGTCACGAGAAAACTCTTGGAGATCTGGGACGAGAGATAGTTCCCAGTCCGCAGGCGTTGTCAGTAAATGAGAAAAAAATCCCAAAGACTCTAAAAATGCACTTAGCGCCACATCTTGAAGATCTTGTTGCTAAATTTAAAAAAACTCCTATGAAAGTATAGGTACTAGCACTCGATATCTGCCCAGCGATTCCAAACGTTTGGCAAAAACAAGGACACACAGGAAACCCAACTTAACATTGTTCTTGAGATTCCTTCTCACAACTTTAATAGAAGGCCCATGTGCATCGGAAAATCTTTGGGCAATTTCCTCATATTAAGAAAAAAAATCAATTATGAAAACAGATTACTTCCAAAACAAAGCAATCGCAAAGTGCATGTGGATCTTTAAGAGAATGCAAGCAACACCCCTCCTCCAACCCCCATCTACACTTACATACATACAMAAAATTTCTGCCAGAACTCCACTTTAATTCAGCCTGGATTCTATAAAATATCACCCCAAGTTATCATTTGTATTTTGTCAATTCTAATGTAAAATTGACAGCAGAAGGTATGGAAACCAGGATGAAACATGTTCAGATCATAAAATGAGGTACTACAGGAAAGAAAAGTTCATATGTCATTTATTTTTTCTAACAATATTAAAATGGTATACACAATTACACTTTGAATATACATAATGCAAAATTAGTCCATCAATCAAACATTGTCCACATACACAGAATATATATTTTTATAATAATTAAAGGCTATATTGCATCTTAAATCCTGACTTTGCACTTAAGAAAATTTAGTGCTTTTGCCACCTGAGTGARTAACAAAATTGAAAACAACAAAATTTCAAGGACTTTTTTTCAAAAGTTTGATTTTTTGGGCTGATATATGTGCGAACTGTACAAGAAGTCTATACAAGGAGTATGTGTTCTCTCCTTGTAGAGTATAAAAAGTGACTTGTCCTGATGGTTTATGCTTTGACCTCTGCCTCATCTGATTCTTTCTGTTTCTTAATGAACTCTTGTCCTTCCTGGAATAGAAAGACCAGGAAAAATTAAATGGAGCAAGGAATGAGTGTATTATCACAGTTTTAAATTGTACAAGTGCTGATAAAAGCAATTACACTATGTTAGGTAAACAACACTCTACTCCCAGGAATAAAACAAAACAAAAAAACCATACTATAAGAAGAATTTGTGCAATCAGGGACAATATTCATATAACATCTACATAATCATTGGTCAATCGAAAGCAAAAATTAAAAGCAGATTAGTGACACAATGGTTTAAATAGATTTATGCTACATGCTGTTTCAATAGTATTACCGTATTGTGACAGGTCAGAACTGAAATCAGCAGAACTGGCATGTTCACGTTTGATGCCAAGCCAAACTTAATTCAAAACTCTTTGATTTGGTGTGATAATAGTATAATGTATGAAATAAGTCTCAGTTGATAAACTTCATGTAAATTTTAAAGAAAGAGAAAAAAGTGGAAGAATGAATGAAAAAGTTTTGGAATTATAACAAAAATTATGAAGAAATTAAGGTTGCACCTATAAGGAGTCATTTGCCACATTAAATGCATTGATATAAGCAACATATTTTATGAGAACCTCTCAATTAAGGTATTAGAATTTTCAGATTTATGCAGTGTTACTGTTTACAAAGATTTTGCGACCTACACTATAAATATTTCAAAAATTTAATAATAAACACAGGAATTATTTACATTTGAAAGTATCAAAGATTAAATGCCCTTAAACTATCTAATCTTGATCTCAATATCAAAGATCAGATGAAAAAGTGCATCAAAAACTCCAATACATTGGCAAAATAAAGAATAACTTTGTACATTGGTTACTAGACAAAAATTTAAGAAATAGCTAAAAGATAAACATAATTAATAATGCACAAAAAGCAACTTTATAAACTTTGTTTAGTTATTAACAGAATAAGGGAGATGAGATCGAATTTGTACAAAATTCATGTTCTGAATGTGTGAAATCAATCAAGCAATCTGACCAAATAATTCTTTACCGGAAGTTCAAAGGAATTGRGTTCACTAAATTGAAAAGAATCGAAATCTTTTAAAAGAGATTTGACATTCAAATGAATGATACGAAATCCCTTGGGTTTACTTATACTTTACAGGGAATTGTGCCTTTTAAAAATCTAAACAATAGATCCATCGAGTACAAACAAACGCAGAGCGCGTGGAGCACATGCGAACAGAAAATTCACTCAAATCTTCAAATATCACATCCCAAGAGATTTTTACCGTTAACAGAACTCACTTTTACAAAAAGAACATTAATTGTACTCGTACACACAATTGTAATCGAGAAAAGCTCWGTTAATCGAAGGTTTTGACAAAAATTAGCACATATAATGCACAAAGGAATACCAGTCGACTTTAAAAACTTCACACCAACAACCAGCAAAGTTTTCTGAAACTTCAACAAAWACATACACATATTACCTCAACGGTTGCATCCATGGTCGACTTGCGCTTCAAATCTGGTTTTTCTTCCTCTGTTTGTTCTTCGTTTTCGCCATTTTCCTCCGTGCTTTGTTTGATAGCTTCTTGGACGGCTTTCGCTTCGGCACGTGTCCCGGCTTCAGTGTCGTGTCCTTCAAGAAGTTCTGCACCTTCCTACATGATTATTGAAATCCAGAATTAGCCTTTGAAATGTACTATTCATAAAGTAATCAGCTTGCTTAGTTGTATCGTTACCTTCGCTGTTACTTGCATAGTACCGTCTCTTTTCAACGCGGGTTTTTCGTCTTCGTGAACATCTCCGTCTCCATTGTGTTCTGCTCCGTTCGTTTCCTCTTCTTTTTCCTTCAAAGTTTCTGTTTCGGCTCGTGTTTTCCCTAATTCCTCGCCATCAAGCAAGTCGGTACCCTCCTAKAAATTATAATGAAGTGAGATAAGCGCGTTGAAAGAGATCGAGATAGCAGTAAAACAAAAATATCTAGTTTTTGACATTGACAGTTGTTACTCACTTTAGCGGTCGCTGCCATTGTAGTTGTTCTCGCTAGTTTACTCGGCGAGTCTTCTGCCGCGGGTTCTTCGTTCGCGTTTTCTTCAATGTGCTTCTGTTGAGCTCTAGTTTTCGCATCTTCGTGAACTTGCCCTGCCGTTTCGAGGAACGCTTCGCCTTCCTTAATTCGAAAACGGAAAAGAACATTCGAGTTGTAAAATTTGTTTTCAAGCAATTTACTTACTTCAAGCGCGGTTCTAAGACGTACCTTAGCAGTTACAGTCATTGTAGAATCTCTCTTCAAGTCGGGACACACTTCAGCCATAATTTACAAAGCTAGAAAAGAAGAACTAAAGAGAACCCTTCGACAAACCGTTTGAAAGGACAAGAGTCAGAAAGTGAAAGACGCGTCCAACAGAAGTTCGACAAGCGAAAATCCAAAGGCGGGAAAACAAAGCTGTTCCTGGGCTTCTGATTGGATAACGACTTGTCAAAAGACAATGGCCAATCATTTTTAATGGATTTTCATTGGACAAGGTGTGTTTCGATTGTATTCAAATTATTGTCATTCGATCTGCTGAAGAAAAAAATTGACAGCGACAATTTTTAATTTGCTAAAGAGAAACACCAAATTTAATCAAATATGGTGGCACTTTCTAGAAAAATGACAATTTTCACTGATTATTCTGTGGTAAAATATTCCACGTCGAGTCCTTTGGGCCTCAAATATTAAAATTCTATCTGTGAACGACAACATTGCAGAACAATGGCAGGACACGTGCGTTTTCGCGCCTCAACGCGCGAGGATATTAAAGCAAGGGCTTTATCAATTACACCAGTGCTYTTACCCTATTTGTGCTATCATCACACAAAACAACGGAAACAATGTTTACTGAAGTATGCCAGAATTACAAAAGGAATGAAGCTCCCTATACCATTTGGCTGCATATTTTTTTTTTTCAAAATCATGACGTCAAACGCTCGTACTGGCTCCTGACAAATGTGCATAGTCTAGGATTGTCATTTCACAAATTAGTACCCCTTAAGTACTAAAATGAACAATTTGGAGTATGAAGTTAGCATCGAACGAACTTAAATAGACAATACTCAAATGAATGATTCGAACACGTGTTCTCGAAGTGTGTACAAACAATGCTTTGTTTAGCGGGAGCTGATTGGCTTATTCGTTGCTGTCGTCATTAATTGACACTGTTATCTAATTGGCTGCAGGTTGTTGGGTGGCACCCTGGAGCAGCGCTTTCAAAAACACATATCAATCACTAAGAGGCTTAAAAGGTTGTAGCGATGGCAGTAATCGCCAATGTGGGGAGGGGAAGGGGAAACAGCTGCACCCGCGCACGTGATGGACATGTGGACAAGTTCGCGAAGGACTGAGTACTAATGACTCTGCTTTAAAAACTCGGGCTTCCTGTTTGTTATTCTCTTCACTCTTTTTTTTCCTTCTCTCTTTTCTTCACTTCATTTTTACCAAAACAAGCATTTTCAAAGGGAATAACACAGCATCTAAAATAAACATTAAATTTAATTCGACGGTATAAAATTCTTATAAATAATGCTCTACTTATATACAGCACTAATGCTGAAGGTTTCTTCGTTCTTTCCCTCTGAATCATTAATAAATATCATAAGCTGCTGAGTCCCGGCCATTTGCTGAGGTGCAAACTTGAGTCCTATATGCTGAGACTGCCCAGGCCCAACCTAACAAACAAACAAAAACTGATGATTGACAGTCGCATTTCGTACCGTGGGAGACTGGTAGGAGTTTGTGACGAACAAAGACGACCGGGCGTACACAGAAATCAAGAAAGCTGGTGCGAGCAATCATAACAATGGTGAATTATTTACAGGTGCTTATAAACGTTAGTATTTTCAATGAATGGTATGGGTTTCCAGGCAATATGTTCCTGAATAATCAATGATGAGAGAATAGAGAGGATGCAAGAATGAAAAAATGAAAATGAAATAAACAAGCCGACAAATAAACGACGAATAAACGAACGAACACACAAACGAACAACAGTACGAAGCAAGGAATAAGCCAACCGAAGAATGAACAAACACACGAACGAGCTGATAAATGAGCCAAACGTCACCAATGATGAATGAACGGCCGCATAGACAAGAACGAGGGAGGGAGCAGATGAAGCAACGAATGGATGTATAAGCGAATGAATAAACGTAGATCGGGGAGATAGATCATACTTAGTGGACAGATGCATATTTAAAAAATAGCTGAAACCTCAATTTTATACATCTAATTATCCAGAATCTAGGAGATTGGCAGTATAAACAAGAAAATAATGGCATCTACAGAGTCCTTCCTTTTGTCTCTTCTCTAGGAGAATGAAAAGGCGAACTTAATAATTCTTTTTTCCTACCTTTATTAATAATGACTTCATCATAGATACCAAAACTATTACTACTAGTTCTTTTGCCCACACTGTCAAGACTTTGAGTGGAACTCTCAAGTGGGACATCATCATAGATGTTGTTATCTGACAGGTCCCTTATTTGAGACCCTGACAAAGCCCCTGCTTGTGAGGACCCTTCATCAGAATAGAGAAAGTCATARAAAGATTGTCCTTGCTGTACTGTAGTATCTGTGGAGTCATCATAAATTGACAAGACTCTTCGTCCACTGCTGGTTTCACCTTCAACAGCTAAAGTCATGTTTTCTTGAAAGGGAGTWGATGTGACGATTGGTCGGCTGACAACGTCACGCTGTTCTTCTTTTGGTTCTWTTTTCKTTCCTTGTTTTTGTTCCTCTGGATTTGTTTTGGGCAGTTGTGGGAGCTTTCTGCGAGGTGGCTTTACAGGTTCTGGGCTTTTRGGTTTTGATTTTGCWCCTCCKGTTGACTTATCTTTATCTTCATGTTTGAAGGAATTAGCTCTTTTAGGTCGTGGTGGCTTCACAGGCTCGGGTGACAATGGTTTCTTTTTGTCATCTTTTTGCTGTGATTTGGGCATTTYATCTGTTGGTGTCGTCAACGGCAACACCCACATTTCTTTATTAGTGGTGTTACTGCGTGTTCTTTTCGCGGGTAAGTGAGCGGAGGCATTTTCCTCGGGCGGCTCACTACAAACCCAACTCAGACTCTTCACAGAACCATCTGACAAGCTTCTTTCACGTTTACCAAGGAACTCATCATCTGAATTATTCACAAACTCAGTCTTCCCACAAGTGTCTTTCTTATCTTTAGTTGGAACTGCTTTAGATGTTTTCTTATAAATATCCTTCGGTTTTGGTGAAACAAGTGGCTTCTGGGAAGGCTTAGGGGTACCTTTGGTGGGACTCTTCTTGGGAGATTTATCCATAACGACTTTTCTTTAATAATTTTTCAGCCCAGTCATTGAAAGTATATTTGTGTATGTTTCATATTTTAATTATTTTTGGTCATAACCAACACCCTATCTTGTGGTCATAAGCGAGATTCCAGCACTGTGGTGCAATTACGATTCCTGAATCTCATGGTATGCAAGCCTACAACGAAAACATTCACGATTAATTGACCAACGACAAAACATTGATTGTCCTTAAAGTTTCAGCTCAACTGATGTTACTTCTAAGTCCTCAAAGGTCAGATACAAAAATAACATATTTTATTACGTGTTTGTGAGGGATATTTGAAGTGGATTTGTTAAAAATACATGTGTTTTGGCTGTTGGAATGAGCTTACGCCTTCACGAAGGCGCAGTAGAAAACGAAAGCACTGGATTTGAGAAACACTTGGTACTAGTAACACAACTTCAATTTACAATACAATGTATATCAGCTAGTTCAATTTTGAGGAAATTAGGAAAGTGAAAATAGGAATTCAGCACATTTTGACGACCACGAACTTTTAATACACAAGAAAAGGGTAAGCTGTTTCAAAGAAGAAAAGCAAACAGAMCAGTCGTTTCACTTTTGAATTGCGTATCCTTTGTCGTTCAGTCCTAATGATACTGGATATCTTATTTATAGGTAATCTTGAAAAAATCTTTGCAGAAATCAAACCCATCGACATTTTAGAGGTCGTACAGTTGTGATAAAATCAAAACYTCTGTGCTAAACTGCTATTTTGTGCATGTTTGCATATCTATAATGAAAGTAAATTCAAATGTAAAATGTATGCAAAGATAAAAGCACTGATCTCACCTGAATTATGTATTGTTGACTTCTAAAGTCAGTTTATAATAAGTCGAAGCACATTTTTCACGGGTTTTTTGTTGTCGACTTCAAGTCACGAGAAAACTCTTGGAGATCTGGGACGAGAGATAGTTCCCAGTCCGCAGGCGTTGTCAGTAAATGAGAAAAAAATCCCAAAGACTCTAAAAATGCACTTAGCGCCACATCTTGAAGATCTTGTTGCTAAATTTAAAAAAACTCCTATGAAAGTATAGGTACTAGCACTCGATATCTGCCCAGCGATTCCAAACGTTTGGCAAAAACAAGGACACACAGGAAACCCAACTTAACATTGTTCTTGAGATTCCTTCTCACAACTTTAATAGAAGGCCCATGTGCATCGGAAAATCTTTGGGCAATTTCCTCATATTAAGAAAAAAAATCAATTATGAAAACAGATTACTTCCAAAACAAAGCAATCGCAAAGTGCATGTGGATCTTTAAGAGAATGCAAGCAACACCCCTCCTCCAACCCCCATCTACACTTACATACATACAMAAAATTTCTGCCAGAACTCCACTTTAATTCAGCCTGGATTCTATAAAATATCACCCCAAGTTATCATTTGTATTTTGTCAATTCTAATGTAAAATTGACAGCAGAAGGTATGGAAACCAGGATGAAACATGTTCAGATYATAAAATGAGGTACTACAGGAAAGAAAAGTTCATATGTCATTTATTTTTTCTAACAATATTAAAATGGTATACACAATTACACTTTGAATATACATAATGCAAAATTAGTCCATCAATCAAACATTGTCCACATACACAGAATATATATTTTTATAATAATTAAAGGCTATATTGCATCTTAAATCCTGACTTTGCACTTAAGAAAATTTAGTGCTTTTGCCACCTGAGTGARTAACAAAATTGAAAACAACAAAATTTCAAGGACTTTTTTTCAAAAGTTTGATTTTTTGGGCTGATATATGTGCGAACTGTACAAGAAGTCTATACAAGGAGTATGTGTTCTCTCCTTGTAGAGTATAAAAAGTGACTTGTCCTGATGGTTTATGCTTTGACCTCTGCCTCATCTGATTCTTTCTGTTTCTTAATGAACTCTTGTCCTTCCTGGAATAGAAAGACCAGGAAAAATTAAATGGAGCAAGGAATGAGTGTATTATCACAGTTTTAAATTGTACAAGTGCTGATAAAAGCAATTACACTATGTTAGGTAAACAACACTCTACTCCCAGGAATAAAACAAAACAAAAAAACCATACTATAAGAAGAATTTGTGCAATCAGGGACAATATTCATATAACATCTACATAATCATTGGTCAATCGAAAGCAAAAATTAAAAGCAGATTAGTGACACAATGGTTTAAATAGATTTATGCTACATGCTGTTTCAATAGTATTACCGTATTGTGACAGGTCAGAACTGAAATCAGCAGAACTGGCATGTTCACGTTTGATGCCAAGCCAAACTTAATTCAAAACTCTTTGATTTGGTGTGATAATAGTATAATGTATGAAATAAGTCTCAGTTGATAAACTTCATGTAAATTTTAAAGAAAGAGAAAAAAGTGGAAGAATGAATGAAAAAGTTTTGGAATTATAACAAAAATTATGAAGAAATTAAGGTTGCACCTATAAGGAGTCATTTGCCACATTAAATGCATTGATATAAGCAACATATTTTATGAGAACCTCTCAATTAAGGTATTAGAATTTTCAGATTTATGCAGTGTTACTGTTTACAAAGATTTTGCGACCTACACTATAAATATTTCAAAAATTTAATAATAAACACAGGAATTATTTACATTTGAAAGTATCAAAGATTAAATGCCCTTAAACTATCTAATCTTGATCTCAATATCAAAGATCAGATGAAAAAGTGCATCAAAAACTCCAATACATTGGCAAAATAAAGAATAACTTTGTACATTGGTTACTAGACAAAAATTTAAGAAATAGCTAAAAGATAAACATAATTAATAATGCACAAAAAGCAACTTTATAAACTTTGTTTAGTTATTAACAGAATAAGGGAGATGAGATCGAATTTGTACAAAATTCATGTTCTGAATGTGTGAAATCAATCAAGCAATCTGACCAAATAATTCTTTACCGGAAGTTCAAAGGAATTGRGTTCACTAAATTGAAAAGAATCGAAATCTTTTAAAAGAGATTTGACATTCAAATGAATGATACGAAATCCCTTGGGTTTACTTATACTTTACAGGGAATTGTGCCTTTTAAAAATCTAAACAATAGATCCATCGAGTACAAACAAACGCAGAGCGCGTGGAGCACATGCGAACAGAAAATTCACTCAAATCTTCAAATATCACATCCCAAGAGATTTTTACCGTTAACAGAACTCACTTTTACAAAAAGAACATTAATTGTACTCGTACACACAATTGTAATCGAGAAAAGCTCWGTTAATCGAAGGTTTTGACAAAAATTAGCACATATAATGCACAAAGGAATACCAGTCGACTTTAAAAACTTCACACCAACAACCAGCAAAGTTTTCTGAAACTTCAACAAAWACATACACATATTACCTCAACGGTTGCATCCATGGTCGACTTGCGCTTCAAATCTGGTTTTTCTTCCTCTGTTTGTTCTTCGTTTTCGCCATTTTCCTCCGTGCTTTGTTTGATAGCTTCTTGGACGGCTTTCGCTTCGGCACGTGTCCCGGCTTCAGTGTCGTGTCCTTCAAGAAGTTCTGCACCTTCCTACATGATTATTGAAATCCAGAATTAGCCTTTGAAATGTACTATTCATAAAGTAATCAGCTTGCTTAGTTGTATCGTTACCTTCGCTGTTACTTGCATAGTACCGTCTCTTTTCAACGCGGGTTTTTCGTCTTCGTGAACATCTCCGTCTCCATTGTGTTCTGCTCCGTTCGTTTCCTCTTCTTTTTCCTTCAAAGTTTCTGTTTCGGCTCGTGTTTTCCCTAATTCCTCGCCATCAAGCAAGTCGGTACCCTCCTAKAAATTATAATGAAGTGAGATAAGCGCGTTGAAAGAGATCGAGATAGCAGTAAAACAAAAATATCTAGTTTTTGACATTGACAGTTGTTACTCACTTTAGCGGTCGCTGCCATTGTAGTTGTTCTCGCTAGTTTACTCGGCGAGTCTTCTGCCGCGGGTTCTTCGTTCGCGTTTTCTTCAATGTGCTTCTGTTGAGCTCTAGTTTTCGCATCTTCGTGAACTTGCCCTGCCGTTTCGAGGAACGCTTCGCCTTCCTTAATTCGAAAACGGAAAAGAACATTCGAGTTGTAAAATTTGTTTTCAAGCAATTTACTTACTTCAAGCGCGGTTCTAAGACGTACCTTAGCAGTTACAGTCATTGTAGAATCTCTCTTCAAGTCGGGACACACTTCAGCCATAATTTACAAAGCTAGAAAAGAAGAACTAAAGAGAACCCTTCGACAAACCGTTTGAAAGGACAAGAGTCAGAAAGTGAAAGACGCGTCCAACAGAAGTTCGACAAGCGAAAATCCAAAGGCGGGAAAACAAAGCTGTTCCTGGGCTTCTGATTGGATAACGACTTGTCAAAAGACAATGGCCAATCATTTTTAATGGATTTTCATTGGACAAGGTGTGTTTCGATTGTATTCAAATTATTGTCATTCGATCTGCTGAAGAAAAAAATTGACAGCGACAATTTTTAATTTGCTAAAGAGAAACACCAAATTTAATCAAATATGGTGGCACTTTCTAGAAAAATGACAATTTTCACTGATTATTCTGTGGTWAAATATTCCACGTCGAGTCCTTTGGGCCTCAAATATTAAAATTCTATCTGTGAACGACAACATTGCAGAACAATGGCAGGACACGTGCGTTTTCGCGCCTCAACGCGCGAGGATATTAAAGCAAGGGCTTTATCAATTACACCAGTGCTYTTACCCTATTTGTGCTATCATCACACAAAACAACGGAAACAATGTTTACTGAAGTATGCCAGAATTACAAAAGGAATGAAGCTCCCTATACCATTTGGCTGCATATTTTTTTTTTTCAAAATCATGACGTCAAACGCTCGTACTGGCTCCTGACAAATGTGCATAGTCTAGGATTGTCATTTCACAAATTAGTACCCCTTAAGTACTAAAATGAACAATTTGGAGTATGAAGTTAGCATCGAACGAACTTAAATAGACAATACTCAAATGAATGATTCGAACACGTGTTCTCGAAGTGTGTACAAACAATGCTTTGTTTAGCGAAAGCTGATTGGCTTATTCGTTGCTGTCGTCATTAATTGACACTGTTATCTAATTGGCTGCAGGTTGTTGGGTGGCACCCTGGAGCAACGCTTTCAAAAACACATATCAATCACTAAGAGCCTTAAAAGGTTGTAGCGATGGCAGTAATCGCCAATGTGGGGAGGGGAAGGGGAAACAGCTGCACCCGCGCACGTGATGGACATGTGGACAAGTTCGCGAAGGACTGAGTACTAATGACTCTGSTTTAAAAACTCGGGCTTCCTGTTTGTTATTCTCTTCACTCTTTTTTTTCCTTCTCTCTTTTCTTCACTTCATTTTTACCAAAACAAGCATTTTCAAAGGGAATAACACAGCATCTAAAATAAACATTAAATTTAATTCGACGGTATAAAATTCTTATAAATAATGCTCTACTTATATACAGCACTAATGCTGAAGGTTTCTTCGTTCTTTCCCTCTGAATCATTAATAAATATCATAAGCTGCTGAGTCCCGGCCATTTGCTGAGGTGCAAACTTGAGTCCTATATGCTGAGACTGCCCAGGCCCAACCTAACAAACAAACAAAAACTGATGATTGACAGTCGCATTTCGTACCGTGGGAGACTGGTAGGAGTTTGTGACGAACAAAGACGACCGGGCGTACACAGAAATCAAGAAAGCTGGTGCGAGCAATCATAACAATGGTGAATTATTTACAGGTGCTTATAAACGTTAGTATTTTCAATGAATGGTATGGGTTTCCAGGCAATATGTTCCTGAATAATCAATGATGARAGAATAGAGAGGATGCAAGAATGAAAAAATGAAAATGAAATAAACAAGCCGACAAATAAACGACGAATAAACGAACGAACACACAAACGAACAACAGTACGAAGCAAGGAATAAGCCAACCGAAGAATGAACAAACACACGAACGAGCTGATAAATGAGCCAAACGTCACCAATGATGAATGAGCGGCCGCATGGACAAACGAACGAGGGAGCGAGCAGATGAAGCAACGAATGGATGTATAAGCGAATGAATAAACGTAGATCGGGGAGATAGATCATACAAATAAAACAAATGAATATATACAACAACTAAATGTATGAACACRTGATARAATGAATGGCAAAAGAAATGGGAAAATTAAACAAAAACAAGCAAACGATTAAGCATTGAAAGTTATATTTCTTAACTACTTATCATACCTCGATTTTACTGTCTTTGAACTGCAGTAAATCTGGTCTGTTACATTTCAGATGGAAAACCTTTCTTGAGGGGTATGGGTTAGTAAACGACACACGCTAGATTCAGAAACAGACTATTAGTAAAAAAAGATTAAGGAATGAAGGAAGAAAAGTCTTATGGAAAGAAAAATATAGACCGATGGGAAAAGTAAGAAACTGGCTTTCTTTTCATATACTGACCGCTCATTAATCYGTGCCTCAAACACTGAAGTTGAAGGGAGGGGAGGGTGGGGAAATGACATACAAGCGATACAGCATTTCTGGGACTAGACCTAAGTGGAAAATTGTCACGTATTTATGTCCAAGATTGTAGACTTATAGAAAATATATGAAAAAAGAAAAGAAGGACAAACGGAAAGGATTGAGCTGTGAGGTTAAGTGAGAGGGAGAAAGGTTGACTGCCCGGCAGTACCTTATTWGAGCCTTTACCGCCGCCTACTTGGAGTTGTAACTCAAACGCCTTGGATATCACTGGTTGCTGACATGAGGCGCACACTAGCCATGTACGAACCAACTGATGAAACTCTGTGTCTGGTATCAATTATTAAGGCATCGCWCCTAAGGCGGGTGACCTCAGTCTCGTACCCAGAGCCCGCACTTTTGCCATCCAGAGGAAGTCAATGCCGTTGACATTGGCCGTGAAGACTCTGGGCTCGAGATTGGGGTGATCTATCATCACAAACCGCCGACTGACATAAACGCAGGCTATTTGTCTGGATGTTGAATGTCGCATTAAAAATGACTGTTTCTCATACAACTATTAAACTTAGACCTAGCCTGCATGGCGCTAGGTGAAACTAAAGCTAACTTAGACCACAATGCAATACGTGATGCTATTTCAAAAAAGGGTATATTAAAATCATTATCATAAGGATACCGACAACGTTGACCTGCATGTAGCGGGTGATGCCCGAGGAGATTGGTGTAAGGGATAACGTCACTTCCTGTACAGCGTTTGCCATCAACATGACAGGATCTGATGGTGAAACCTAAAACATAAACATAATCAATCAACAATCAACATAACATTACACGCATAGTCGATGACAAATGATGTCTAGAATACATCGTTTTTTGATTGGTTTTGACTCTTAGTGTAGTTGTAATCTGCGCATGACTTGTTAGCCTGTGTTACATCMGGAATTTCTGTCTAATTTCCGAACTTTGAGAAAATTTCGGTGTGTACCCAGGCTAATGACTCGTATTCTGTAGCCCGATTGGTCTTCCTGTGGTATTGCTGTTTTACAACCGGGCTTCCTGTGGCATACATAATTACTTCCTGTTATTCGGGGAAGTATACTGCAAGGCTCAGTTTCCACAGAATGTTCGCTGCTTTTTGTTCCAATTCCATTACTTTYTATCTATAATCCAAGTGTGCTCATCGTTTAATGGAGAGCATATAGAATGGAATATCTTCAGTGGTGGATTATCTTAACAGTGTTGAGTGATATTTCGCGTAGTTCTTCTCACAMCGAAAAGGAAAACRAAGGTACACCCCCAGGTTGKAAAATTCCTTTGATATAAAATSGAATGACCCTGTATATCATGATTTTAGTGTCTGCAAACCATTATGATATTCAAAATAAAAAGCATAAATATCTTAATAATACGATTTTTTTTAGTTGTCGATGTTTATGTCTCAAAAAGAAATGGTAACGACACCCTATCATGTGGGCCAGTTTCCAGTCCTTGTCACACAATTGCCATGGGAGTGTGGCGAGCAAGAGAAAATGCCCGAGTTCACATAGATGGAACTGGGTCAGAGACAACGCCCTATGCATGCAAATCCTCAAGTTTAGAATTAACAGGAATTCAAGCTAACAAAAGTCTAGAAATGATTGGTTTCCAGGAAATGGTGCATGTGAAATGCCAGGAAGGGTATGGTATCAGATTTCAAAAGTCTGACCAGGTTGAGACCGTTGTTAGTCTGACTAATATCAAGTTTACTGAGACTAATATTCAAGCTAAGGATGTCAACATTTTTATAAATCACTGTATTTTTGCTGATGGGAAACAAGGTATAAGTCTTGTCCAGTCTACCAGGCCAACTACCATGTTTTTCACTGGGTCTTTGTGTGTGAATACCAGTTCTTGTATAATAGTCAATGTCACGGGTCAAGTACAACCAACAAACAAGATATCTATTGGTTTAAAGGACAGTAACATAGTTTCATCTYGGTTGATTGACAGCCCTGGCATTCATGTRACATCGACAGSGGAATACAACCCAGGGTCAATAACTTGTRATATTACACTTTACAATGTTACTTTTAAACAAAATGTCCTTGGAGTGAAAGGATTGATTTTCATAGATTTGATGAATGCATTTACAATGATAGATTTTGATACAGTCTTTCTTGAAGACAACAAAGTTGAAACATACTCAATTAATTTGATCACTGTTCAAGATAGTGTTAATCATGTAATGAACTTAGCTAACATGAAAGTCGCTGGGAATTGTGATGGATTCTGTCGKGCACTTAGCTTAGACATAAAGAACCAAAGTACTTTGAATGTCATAAACAGTTCRTTYGAACAGTTCAATGTTGGCAMCCAGTCAGGRGTGATTAACTTAYAWTCTAAGAACTGCAGTATGTATGTACACAACACATCTTTTACTAGWAACAAYGGRGAGATGGGAAACGGAGGATGCATCTCTGTCAACGGTGGAACAGCAAGAGTATTGATTGAAGACTCTTACTTTACAAACAACAMAGGRAAAAATGGAGGAGTATTATGGATATCCACTAAAGATTATCTTTTAACCAACATCACAAACTGCCATTTTAAATCAAATTCTGCAGCAGSGTCTGGAGGAGTAGCGAGCTTAGAAAGCAAAGACGTGCATATCATAATGACAGGCTTGACAATCACTGACAGTAATGCTGGAGACTATGGTGGTTCATTTATGATTGGCAATGCGACTGAATTTTATTATTCAACGCCAACCATTCATAATGCAATAGTTCAAATTAAAAATCTCAATGTTCTAAGAAGTGGTTGTACATATTATGGTGGTGTCTTAGCTTTAAAAGCAAAGGGAGGCCTAATATCATTTCATGATAGCGTAACAGAACATACTAAGGCATCAGAAGCTGGTGGTGTTGCTTGCATTTCAAGCCTCCCTTTACAACAGATGGGCTTTTCATTTAAAGTATACAACACAACATTCAATTTTTCCGCTGCAAATAATTCAGGTTCAACTATATTGGCATATGGAGTCCACACCTTAACCATGGAAAGCGTCGTTGTTGATAACAGCTATGGTGGGTCTGTATGGTGTGTTGGGAGTTTAAGTTTTATTTTTTATGTTGACCCTACTCCAATATCTACTACCAGTTATGTCAATGCCAACTTCACCATTGATAAAATCAAAATAAGAAAGAGCAAAGAGAAGATATCGTCTACTGGGCTGTTTATCTACTATTATACAACACCCTTGTCACTGACACTAACCAATTCTGTCTTTGAATCCAAAACTCCATATTTCTTAGGGTGCTTAACTTTGACTTTACCAGACACAGACATTGTTATTCGCAATGTAACCTTCAGAGGTTGTTACTCATTATATTATCGTGTTGCAAGTGTATTTATAAATGCAAACAAAGCCAATGCCATAATCGACTCATGCCAATTCAATGGCAATTTTGGGGAGGATGGAGGGGCAGTAACGTTTGTATATATGAACGTCAAAGGAGATCAATGTACAGAAAGTGCACATGACTCTCAAAATAGCTACAGCTCAGCTAGAAATGGTTTCTTCAGCAGCAAGATTCCCCAAAAGAAGTTGGCATATAATRTATCAATATTGATAAAGAATACAACATTCGCAAACAACACTGCTACAACTGGTGGTGCATTATCCTTTTTGGGTGGAAATATTACCATTATAGGATGCTATTTCATTGATAACTTTGCAAAAATCCAAGGAGGCCATATCTATACTACATTGRATTCTACAAGTGTGCAGATATATGATTCAACATTTACACAAACAGGTTCAACAAGAACTGTTATTGACAAATTTGGAAAAAGGGAAATATATAGTTTATCTAATGGATTATTTTTACATTGGCAGAGTTCAGGTYCTTTGGTTATACTCAATACAACGTTTGAATCAAAGTTGTCAAGTACAAAACCTGTAAGCTTGCAGACTTTATTTTCGGTCTCAAAACGTAACAGTATTGACTTTGGTAACAACAACCGAACAACTGTTATATGCCCAAGAGGAAGCTATGTAGACATTATAAATTACACTAAYGTYATCGCAARMACTGACACAATTKCTGTATTGCTATGGGAAATGAACTGCAAACCATGYGAAATAGATACATACAGTCTRCAGCAYGGCCGYAGCCTAGGGGTAAATAGRGTCAGTGGTTTTCAGTGTTTGTCATGCCCATTTGGAGCTGAATGTCATGGGAAAATCACAGCCAAACCAAATTTTTGGGGATATAAAGTGAAAAAAAATCCCCCTGAACTAAATTTCACTCTTTGTCCACTYGGATACTGCARCACAAAACATAGAGACAACTTCATCRACTATAACAGTTGTCAAGGGAACAGGACTGGAACGTTGTGTGGTCARTGTAAGAAATACCACTCTGAAACTCTCCTSTCRCCATCTTGTCGTCATGACGATGAATGCCATGACAACTGGCTTTGGGGAGTGGCSATTGCCATGGCAACATTGATGGCATTGTACTTGATTCACAAACCTGATCTTGCAGGCATRCTCAAGAAGCAGATTGTATGGTTCAAATGTCAARGAAATGAAGAARATGATCAACATGAAGCCCAAAAACATGAWGGTGGTGGGTACTTGAAGATAGTATTTTACTTTTATCAAGCGGTAAACATTCTTCTTGTCACCAATTCATACGAGAAGGTCATCCAGTCTAATCTCTTGYACCCTGTGGTGGGAATTTTCAACTTTCAGTTTCGGTTTTCCTTRAAAGGTTTCCTTTGTCCTTTTCCTGGTCTAACAGCAGTTACCAAACAGTTTCTCTTTGCCAGTCAAGTGTTTGGTGTCCTGTTCATGRTTCTTGTCTGCTACTGYTGTCATTGCATACTGCACAAGTGCAGGYCCACACAGCCTCCAAACCTTGGGCCCTACCTTGGTGCTGTCTTGGAGACACTGTTGCTAGGATACACTGTATTTGCCAACACTTCTTTACCAATGCTACGATGTACATCACTTGGTGATGAATTTCGACTTTTTATTGCTGGACAAGTAGCGTGTTACCAATGGTGGCAGTACTTGCTCATGATTTTTGTTGGTGTTGTGGTTTTTCCTTTAATTCTGACCCTTGCATTTGGTTCACACTGGCTGTACAAAGGAACTATCTCTGTYAAGGAGTTTTTCCTTGGTTGTGTTCTTCCTCTACCATTCTTGGTGTATAAGTTGATATCATTTATGTGTAGACCACACAGACCAAAAGAGGAGCCATCCGAATGGAAAAGAGCYATAACTAAAGTGCTTTATGGTCCTTTCCGGACCCCACAGGGGAATATCTCAGGAGCTKTGTACTGGGAAAGCATACTAATATCCAGAAGACTGCTTCTCATTATAATCTATGCATTTGTAACAGATTCTTTGTCCAAGGAACTGTTATTAGTGTTGGCATGTGTTGTTATACTTCTTCATCACCATTCAGTACAACCGTTTCGTGACAGCGCAGCAAACAACGCCGAGACTGTATCACTGTTTGGWTTGTTTATCATAGCAACGATGAACACACTAAAAGCAAGTTTTCTGTCATTYGGTCAAGCACAGAAAGGTCCTCTTAAGTCTCTTGAAGACGTTTTTGACTGGGTTCAAATAATCATTATAACGGCACTTCCAATTCTTTGTWTAGTGGCTGTTTTAGGTGCTACYATCTCTCAAGYCATTCGTCTGATTGTAAAAGCAGTCAGCCTCCTCAAAATCAAGTGTATGAAGTCAARAGATGAAAGTCAAGGCTTGCTCATYCMYRGTCCCCTTRATGAGTTYGATCAGGTGCAACGGTRAATACAATGAATTCATTATAGCAATAATTGTGCAATAATTGCASTGGCAATTGTGGTAATCCTGACATTAATTTTCTTTGACTTTTTATTGTATAGTYATAATTTTCTTTTTATACAATCATTTGAAAAAATATTGCAGACAACAAACATAAAAATAGGCAATCGTATATTTGTTTGTAGTCACAATGTTTGCAAATGATTGAACAGTTATGTACTATATATTAAAGGCCCACGTGTATCTAAGAACCTTTGTGTAATTTTTTCCACATACAAAAATTCACCATCTTTAATTTTGAACCTATCAGAAAGCAACTTTCAAGAAAAGCTCATTTGCAAAACAAAAGAAACGATCGCAAAGATTCATGTATGCACTTGGGCCTTTAAATAGGCGATTTGCATTATGGCGTCATTTACTACAACTACCAGAATGCTTTGCCCACTTTCTTTTGTAATGCAATTATTGCCAATTGGTTTACTAATCGCCAAGGGGATTAAAAATCTGAATAACAATGAAAATGCACAAGGCTCTCTGGTAGTTGTAGGAAAGTTACCCCATCATGCAAATGGCCTATTGTGTAATAATATTTTTGCACTAATCTACAAAGCCATTATAATAAAATTACAGTAATGTAGTTAGACATAATAAACATTTATAGTTTACATTGCTTTAAATGCTGTACCTGTAATTCTTCTGGGTGAGATGAATAGCATCGTACTAGTCTAGATGACTGGGTACCACGCAGAATAACAGATACACGGCTTGTTTGACCTTCTATTGCAGTGATATCAACCCTTGAAAGATAAGGAAATAAATAATGGATGGAAATAAATGAATGGATGGAAAGAGGGATGCATTGTTCAATACAAACAAATGAATGGGAATGGGAATCAAAAATAATGGATGAATGAACAGAGAATGAACGAATGGAAGGTTAAACAAATGGATGAGAGGATGTATGRGTACACAAMAGGAATAAACAAACGAATAAAAATCTAAAACAAAGAATGGATAAATGAATGAACACATAATGAGCAAATGGAAGACTGAATGAATGGATGGGAGGATGGATGACTGAACAAACAATACACAACAACCAACTACAGTGATGAGCAGAACAGCTCCCCTTCCTTCCCTCCCTTCCTTCCCCTCCCTCCCAAAAAAACTGTGCCCAACTTGTATCAAAATCCCAATCCTCACCTCTGTAAAGAATGCACATAAAGCTGCCAAGTCTGAGCCGGACTTGCCATATATGGGTCAATATACATCAAGACAAAGAACCGTTTAATGGTTGGCGATGGTCCACATGCTACTTTAACGAAAACATCCTGGGGCTCAGCAGAACCCACTTTCCTGATATCACATACAGCATTGACGTCACTACAGCGTACATTGATGCTTGGGGGTGCCTTGTCAATCACAGGGGCACCTGCAATCAAACGATGACATCACCATAGAATTGTTTTCATTGGACTATAAATAATATAATAATAATAATAATAAATAGTATTTATATAGCGCAAAATATCCACCAGGTTCTGATGCGCTTTAAAAAATTGAATATAGAAAAATTCAATACTATTATAAAAATGTATGAAAAAAGATATAAAAAAGATATATAAAAAAAGGTTTATTTGAAAAAGAATACAAATAGCTGATTTGAATTATAGCGTCATTTACTACAACCACCATAATGCTTTGCCAACTTTTTTTTTGTAATGCAATTAGTGCCAATTGTTTTATTAATCTCCAACGGTATTAAAAATCTGAATAACAATGAAAATGCAGTTGTATTAGTAAAATAGTTTGTTAAATAGTTTTTAACAGAGATCAAACACTAAACGTGTGCAACACTTTGCACTGCGATTCCTGGTATTCAAACACAAACGTCTGGTATTTACCTGGTAAAGAACGCCAAGGAGGCGTACGGATTGATTTCTTGAAGAAAGACTGCTCYGGATGATAAAACCGTAGTGTCTGGTTRACTGTGTGTGGTCGTGGCTCAATATTTAAGTTAAGTATAGCAAGAGGACGATTGTCTTTCATCATAAAAGAAACCTGATGATGAAACAAAGACAGGAAAGCTAGGTTTACTTTACATAGGTATATTATAAAAACTAAAAAAAAAACTGTGCAACATAGATAMCACTAAATACTTCTAAATTATGCTAATTCTATTGTTTTYTATTGTTTAATTAACACAATTTTGTAGTAAATAGTGGAAAGTGTTGCACACATTTAATGTTTGTACTCTAGTGTTGCACATATTGATAAAACTGTCATYCTTCACSAGTTTGTAAGGTTTCTTGTGATTGTAGGAATAAAACAATGCTTATTGTTTCCTCGTTCTWAAATCMTATTRTTTTCTTTTGTTKAACAAAGAGTTAGTAATTAAAACCTTTATGCTTCTTGGCTGAAGCCTATTGTCTTGAACACTGTCTAGTTTTTTAAATGTTGTAGTTTGTTGGTTTAAMGGGTGTGAAGGAGACTGGTCGGGCACGCTGTGGTCTGCTTKAAACGTTTGGTACTTGAATGGTATGTGTACACTCTCGTGTGGTCGAAGAAACACTTCTGGGAATGTTGAGCTTTCTTGATTGAACATGTTTTCCTCCATAGCTGGAACAAAGAGATGGGATTGCAATAAGGAACAACAGGGCAAATGATTTAGAGTTAAAAATTCATTGTTTATGTTGATATACTTTATACTTTGTTTCAGTAAAGATGAATGCASATTAAATTTATCAGCAATCATATTGATTAGACTTTTCATAACCAATCACTTTGAGTTTGCAGCAAATAACCAACGCATGCAGTATATTGAAGAATAATAATGACAAAACACCAACATCACACAGTTATTGAAACATTAATGACAATTAAATATATATGAACTATAAGAAAAATCAGAACCAAGAATAAGAACTGAGAGACTTAAATATTTGGTGTCTTGAAAATATCTGTAATAGAAATAGTGTTAAGCGTTTTATCTGCCTGTCTAATTGAAACATCAGTGCTCTTCCTGTAATTCAGTGTTTTTTCCACTTTACACTGCAATTGGAGCATATATCAATATATATATCATATCAATATATGACTATTTCACAATCATATTTATCAGTAAAACTCACGTGTGTGCRTATCAACATATTTCTTGAAGAATCTCCATTCTCTAGCGTCTTTGATAACAGTAAGTTCTTGATCTTCACACTGTATGCTGATGGTCTGATCTGTATCGTGAGGGTTCCTGATTGCAAACTCAAAAAACTCAGCGTGGCCAAATGAAGGGTAGATGGTGTAGTTTGTAGTGATATTAGCAGCGAGGAGAGACAAGATTCCTTCATGCTTGTTTTTATCTCTGTATAACTGGATTGTTTTAAGGTCACGGGATCTTTGAAGTTTCTCCTCCTTTCTTAACTAGATTGGGAAAATGGATAATGGGATAAAATGAAAAATGAGAAAATGTATGAAATATATTCAAGTTGATTCAGTGGGATTTGCTTGAAGTTTGTCTTTGTTGTTTCCAAATGGGAAAATGGATAATGGGATAAAATGAAAAATGAGAAAATGTATGAAATATATTCATGTTGATTCAGTGGGATTTGTTTGGAGTTTGTCTTTGTTCTTTCATTCCTTCCATTCATTCTTCCATTTACTTATCCACTCATTTGCTTATTTATTCATTCATTCGTTCGTTCATAATTTCATTCATTTATTTTGTCAGTCAATCAAAGCAACAAGAACCCATAAAACATACTATTATAGAACCATTTGCGTCACTCCCTCCAGTCTGGCGAACAGCCTGCATTCGTTGYAACTTCCTTTGTCTGACGGCATCCATTTGATTGACAGGTTTATCCCCCTTGTTGACTTTCCCTTGTCTACTAAATAACACAGCAGCCAGCTCAGAATCGCATTCTGCAAGCAGCTTAGCTTTACACTTGGCTTTGCCAGCAGTCATTCCCAGACCACTCATATTTCCTCTTATGGTCTCGGACATAATGACGTGGGAGCGCTTWCGGGGGACTGTGCCAAGACGGGCTGTCGGCATCTCACTATGATGGCCAATGTTAGCCAATHGTAAGTGTAGTCTTGCTTTGATGCTGGTTTCCATGCCAGTAGGCTGTACAGTTCCAGTGCGTGTCATGTTGCCTACCATCGCTGGAGATGTCTCAGAATACTCTACTGACACAACATCTAGCTCATGGCTGATAAGGACTGCTTCTCKGCCTTGACGCAGAAGATGCTGGATAGGAAAAGAAGCAATGATCATAATCATCATTAAACTCATAACAAATAATTGTAACATTAATGTATGTGATTGGTCAATTATTGTTGGAGGTCCAATAAACAACAGGGAATCCCCTTTCCATATTTAGATAATTAATCATATAAACTTCCTAAAGGACTACAGTGATACTGATCCAATGTGCAACAGGGAATTCCACTTTGGTATATTTAGATCTATAAACTCACTTTAAGTTCTAATGATTGCAGAGCCATTAAACAAAAGGGAATYCCCTTTCCATATTTAGATATTGCCCTGTACTCATTGTTAAAGATGATCAGTGAAGYTGACMAGACAAGCAACAGGGAATCCCCATTTCATACACTGTTATACACTCACCTTSAGTTCAAGTGAAGCTGATCCAATAAGCAACAGGGAATCCCCATCCCATACATCYAGATGTATATTCTGTGCAAGTAAGTATGTGCTGAATACTTTGCTTTCCCCTTCCTGCATGTATGCTGGGTCTACCAGATACTTAAGAACAAGACCAGGTGCTTCATTAGAWATTGTGCCATTAGCTGTAAGCCGCTGAAGGATGCTCAGCTGTCCTTGGTTCTCACTCTCTGAGCCTTTAAGATAAAGTCTAGAAATNAATGTAAAGAACACAGACTGGTGACCAAAGCAGCTGAAAACAAAAAAAGTTTTGTTAAGATTAAGATCAACTCTAAAACCATTCAAATATAACTTGCTAACACTCTCCTTTGTGACAGTATAAATAAAGTCACTGACCTTGAGACAGCAAGGAATTGGATGACTATTTCATTCGCCTGCAGTGAGTCTGTTACTTCATGGTCAATATTCATCGGCACAGCCTCAGCAGCATCAATCACCAAGGGAGGGTTGCCATGACGATCAACAATAGATGCATAACCAGCACTAGAGAGCTGTGCATGACCAGCACGGCTTAAAGTTGACATACCACTGTTGACATGGAAACAAAGGAAGGTTAAATCTAACCATTGTCATCAATATAAGATATAGCTAATCAGTTACCTTGACAACCCAGCAGTGTTGCTTAGTAACAGGGGAGAATGATACTGACTGTAGGGAACCTCTGTAAGTTGGGAGACTGGATCAGGTGCCGTAGGACGTGTGCCAACAGAGCCCTTAATAACAATTCAACACTTCTATGGTTACTTGTGTGTCTATGGTTACCTGTGTGTGTTTATGGTTACCTGTGTTTCTATAGTTACCTGTGTTTCTATAGTTACCTGTGTTTCTATGGTTACCTGTGTTTCTATAGTTACCTGTGTTTCTATGGTTACCTGTGTTTCTATGGTTACCTGTGTTTCTATGCCTATTTGTTTGCCTATAGTTACCTCAACTGTTTCTATGGCTACCTGTGTTTCTATGGTTACTTCTGTTTCTGTGAGTACCTGTGTTTGTGCTGCTCTCTGTGGAAGAGGACTGTGAAAAAAAACATTTTAAAATAAATAAACAAATAATTTAGTATTTCAGCTTAGTTTTTCAATTGTCACAGTAACTCAAGGTTAACACTACCTTTTTCCAGGTAATGGTGGTCTACCAGCAATTCCAGGAACCATCTGTCCTCTTAAAGGTTGGTCCACTTTATCAGCATTTATATCACCTAGTGAGCTRTAMGGTGATGTTGGACCAGCAAGAGATGGTGTTGATAGYCTATCAGCTGTGCCTGGTAAGGACRATAYGAGCTGTGAKCCTTGGGGACTGGGTTTTAGGCTTCCTGTTCTTTTTTTCTGCTGTGTAAAACTGAATTTAATCTTCCCAGGTGTCTGAAGAAAAACACAATTAAGAGTAAAAAGTCACTATAAGTTTCCCATTATTTCATGAACTTAATAACTTGTATTATTAGTTAATTTGTTTCCTTTCCACAATTTGTTCAAAGTTCATTAGAGAGCTATACCTTTTCTTGGGGTGTCTTTTTTGCCTTGTAGACCATTCTCATGCCAGGATAAAGCAAGGCTCCATGGTCCATAWTCAAGGTGATGTCTTTTTCCTCAAGAGGACCCTCYTCAAAKGGCGTCCAAACAGCAAACTGTACTGTAGCTGTCTGTTTTGTGGATCTCATCAAACTACCTGAAAGACTTCCCTGCAAGGGGACAATATATTTACTTACAATGACGTACTATTTGCAAGTCAACATATGAACACTATCAAGAAACATTTCCATCAAGTAATTATATAAAATATGAGCAGGAGACCTTTATGGGCATAGTTTAAAACTGCGAGCTGCAAGCGAGCAGTTAAATTATAGCCCATAAAGGGATGTGAATATTTTATATTGCTTATCAAATTCCAACATAAGGTATAGCATATTTCGAAAAAAAAATTCAGGATAAAATATCATTTGTAAGAGAAAAGCAAAGTTAAAGTCGTAAATCAGGACAAATCCCTTGCTCAAATAAAGATCACGGCAATGATTTTCCATTGTGTTTACCTTATCAATTATTAATGAAATTAATAAATATATACTAAGTTGGTATCAAACATAATAATTTGATACTTCAAGTCAAATTTCAAAACAATTTGCGTATTTAAATAGATTGCTGGTTGTAAGGTTAAGAAATTGAAGTGAAGATAAATTATTTTGTAGTTAAATAATCATGTTCAATATAATACCATGGAAAATTGTATAATTTCCCATTCATTCATCAACTTAATAACAAGTTGGAATGAAACAGCAAAATATCAAACTTATTAGATCAACGTTTTCTTTCAAAAATCGCTAATTYATTTAAAGTACCTTTTTTCTTTTTGTATCAATCAAAGGTTGTGCAAATGGTTCAGATATSACGTACTCTATTTCAAAGACCACGGCAAATAGAGGATGATTGACAAGCTCAACCAGTTCAAGCCTGCTTCTTAGTACAAGACAAACAATCTTGGATGCTAAGAGCAAATAATTAGTAATTAATCATTAATGATTACCAATGTATTAGCAATGTTTTACCAAACATTTTTACTTTCCATTTGTTTGTCACATGTTAATAAGTCTCCCCTAGCCCACCCCCTAAAGGTTCATGATAAGTCCCTTACCTGCACTTCTAAGGGATCCCTGAGAGGCAGGGGATGGGGAACGTCTGCCTGACTTGCTACCACCACCCTCGTATTCAGGTTCAAGGTACACCATATGGGGCTCACTGACATATGTCCAGCCATTATGGACACCAACCTGAACCAATCAATAATAATTATTTAAATGATTGACAGGTTGATTGACTGATCATGTGATTGATTGATTGATTTACTGGTTGATTTACTGGTTGATTGACTGATTGATTGATTGATTGATTAATTGATTGACTGGTTGATTGATTGATTTACTGGTTGATTGACTGATTGATTGACTGGTTGATTGATTGATTGATTGATCGATTGATTGATTCGTTACTTCATCTGATTCATTGATTTATTGACTATTAATTCATTGAT